ATAAGAAGTAAGTGTTAGCAAGGATGTGGAGAAAAGTGAACCCTTGTCTACTGTTGGTAGGAATGTAAGCTGGTGCAACCACTGTGGTAAATAGTATGGAGTGTCCTCAAAAGTTTAAGAATAGAAATACCATATGATCTGTTAATTCAACTACTAAGTATTTACCCAAAGAAAAATGAAAACACTAATTTGAAAAGATAGAAGCACCCCTATGTTATTGCAACACCATTTACAGTAGCCAAGATATGGAAGCAACTCAAGTGTCCATCCATAGAGAAATGGATAAAGAACATGTGGTATACATATACAATGGAATAGTACTAAGTTATTTTTTTAATGTTTTATTTATTTCTGAGAGAGAAAGAGAGAGAGAGAAAGAGAGAGTGAGCAGGGGAGGGTCAGAGAGAGAGAGAGAGAGAGAGAACTGGAAACAGATTCCAACCTCTGAGCTAGCTGTCAGCACAGAGCCCGACGCCAGGCTTGAACCCACAAACCGTGAAATCATGACCTGAGCCGAAGTCAGACGCTTAACTGACTGAGCCACCCAGGCGCCCAGAATAGTACTAAGTTATAAAAAAAGAATGGGGTCTTGTCACTTGTGACAACACGGATGGACCTAAAGTATATTATGCTAAGTGAAATAAGTCAGAGAAAGAAAAATGCCTCATGATTTCACTTACATGTGAAACAAAAAAAACAAATGAACAAACAAACAAAAACCAGATTCTTAAATATAGACAGCTTGTGGATGCCAGAAAGGGGAAGTAGATAGGGGTGGGGAGGTGCAAAATAGATAAAAGGATTAAGAGTTACAAACTTCCAGTTATAAAACAAGTCATGAAGCCGAATAGTACAGCAAAGGGAATATAATCAATTATATTGTAATAATGTTGTACGGTGACTACATGTATCATAGTAAGTGCCAAGTAATGTACAGAATTATTAAATCAACAGACTGTACATCGGAAACTACTTTAAAATTGTCTGTTAAAGGGGGCACCCGGGTGGCTCAGTCGGCTAAGTGTCCAACTTTGGCTCAGGTCATGATCTCATGGCTCGTCAGTTCAAGCCCTGCGTCGGGCTTTGTGCTGACAGCTCAGAGCCTGGAGCCTGCTTCAGATTCTGTGTCTCCCTCTCTCTCTGCCCCTCCCCTGCTCACACTCTGTCTCTCTCTCCTTCAAAATTAAATAAACATTAAAAAAATTAAAGAATGTTCTACTTTCAAGAAAAACTTGTATTCAATGCATACTTTTTATTTGAATGCATTCTTACAATCTATGTATTGTGTGTGTGCATGTATTTTTACATGCATTGTATCATACTATCTCTTGTTTTGACTAAATCATATGCTTTTAAGATACTCTAAGTTGCTGAGTGCACATGGTATTTGGTGCCTCTAACTGCTGCATACTAGGTCATGGGAGGGATCCCACAGTTTACCCATCTACTTTCCCGACTGTGGATGTCCAGGTTCTCTCCAACGTCCCATCAACAAAAACTAATGTTGGAAAGAATAGCCTTATGCATGTTTCAACAGACTTCTCTGGCAATGTGCGTTTGTTGATTCTGGAAACATTTTTTTGTATTTTTCTTTGTAAGTTTCTCCGTGCCCTCTTCCCTATTCTCTTTATGGAACTCTTAGAAGTTGAATGTTGGACCAACCCTCTGATTTTTAAAAGCTTTTTTATTCTACTTTCTAGGTGATTTCATTAATTTTGTATCCCAACTGTTTACTATCTCAGTATTTTCATTACATGTTTACATTTTTTACATTAATTCACGCTAGACTGATGAAATTTTACATTATTTATTTTGCATTAATTTCCAAGGGCTCTTCTTAACTGCTAAATGTTCTTTTTTAATTTTTAATTTTGCAATTAAAATTATTTCTCTTAACTCTGCTAATATCAGCTATAAATTTTAAGAGTTATCTTTTGTACCCTCCATCATTCATAGTCCCTCAAGTCCTTTTCTTTTAGAGAGTGAGGGAATGCATGCCACGGAGAGGGACAGAGGGAGGGGAGAGAGAATCTTAAGCAGGCTCCATGCTCAGCACAGAGCTCAATACTGTACTCAATTCCACACCCTTGGGACCATGACTGGAGCTGAAATCAAGAGTCAGATGCTCAACAGACTGAGCCACCTGGTGTCTCTCAGGTTCCTTTTTTCTATATATTATTTTGTTTTTGTGTTTTGTTTTGGAGTTTTTTTTTCCAATGCTGATGATCCCTACTCTGCCTTAGTATGTAAGAGCAAGTCTCAAAAAGCATTTTAGAAACTCTTGTGTGTATGGCTGAAGTATGTAGAATGAGAAGTGTACTGGGTTGAATAACCCAGCCAAAAAATGTACGTCCACATCCTAATTCCTGGATCCTAATTCCTGGATCCTTATTTGGGAAAAAGTCCTTGCAGATGTAATTAAGTTAAGGGTCTTGAGATGCAGAAGTCTCCCTGGAATATATAAGTAGCTCTAAATCCAATGACACATGTCCTCATAAGAAAGAGGCCCAGGGAGATTTTAGACAAAAGAGAAGGAAGCAATGTGACCACAGAGGCAGAGACCAGGGTGACACAGCCACTAGCCAAGGAATACTTGGAGTCACCAGTGACTGGAAAAGGAAGGAAATAAATTCTCCCCTAGAGCCCTTAGAGGGGGTGAGACCCTGCCAGATTTTGGACCTCTAGCATCCAGAACTGTGAAAGAATTAATTTTATTCACAGCATGAAGCTACCTAGTTGTGTTAATTTGTTGCAGCAGCTACAGGAAACTATATGAGCCTCCCTGAGGGCAATGGGTGGGAACCGTTTCTCTGGCCATCCTCAGGTATCAGCCTACATTAAGATTCTTCTCTTAAGATGGACAGTTTCCCATTGCCATGTAGTATTCCATGGTATAGATAAACCACATCTTCTTGATCCATTCATCTGTTGATGGACACTTAGGCTCTTTCCATGTTTTAGCTATTGTGGAGAGTGCTGCTATGAACACTGGGGTACATGTGCTCCTATGCCTCAGCATTTCTGTATCCCTTGGGTAAATTCCTAGCAATGAAATCTGGCCATGTGTAGCAACATGGATAGACCTTGAGGGTGTTATGCTGAGCGAAATAAGTCAGGCAGAGAAGGACAAATATCATATGTTTGCACGTATAGGAGGATTAGGAGGAACTTGACGGAGGAACAAGGGGGAGAAGAAGGGCGGAAATGGTGGGGGAAAGGGAGAGAGGCAAACCATGAGAGACTCTTGAATGCTGACAAAAACTGAGGACTGATGGATGTGGGGGGGAGGGGGGGATGGGCATGGAGGAGGGCACTTTGGGGATGAGCACTGAGTGTTATGTAGAAACTAATTTGACAATAAACTATTTGTAAAAAAAAAAAAAAAAAAAAAAAAAAAAGATGGACAGTTTCCCCACAGAGGAATCCTACTAGCCCTTACCCTACCAGACTGCTCCACTTCTGAGAGTTAAGAGTAGACAGACGTGGGCTGGGAGCATGACATTCAGTTTGTGGACTTTCACTCCAACATATCAGCCCTACCCTCAGAAGCAACTGATGTTACCAGTGCACATTTTTGATTCAGGCTACAGAGACAGTAAGTCTTCTGACTTTGGCTGGGGTGGGGGTTGGACAGGGCAGATACTTGTGAGGACTGTTTGGGGATAGAGATCTAGGGTGTTAGACAGATGTCATCTAAGTGTTCCTTATGAGGATTTTTGACCAATCCTCTTGTTCTTAGTGCCATCCATATCTCATCTCTCAGACATATGTGGTGACTTGAATTCTTGGAGCCTTTCTAGGACTGTGGATGGTTCAGAAGGAAAATAATTTTGCCTTTTTATTAGCATTCTTCACCAAAGGCAGTTAAACCTCAGCTTTCCCACCACTAGATCAGTTACCATTTACTCTCTGCCTTCAAAAATTTTGCTGACCTGTCTCATCTGTTCTCATTTCCTCTCCTGTTCTGTCACTGTGCCCTTACAATTTTTTTCCTGTGTTAGTAGAGTTATAAGACATGATGAACTTCACTCAACCTGCTGTGTTCAATAGAAGCACCACTTTGTAATTTCCATTTGAAGAACTTATGCTACTCAGAGAAGATATTAATTTCAGTTGTGCTTGGAAAAATGTAAGACCCTCTAAAAATCAACCCCTGTTGTAGCTCTATTTTATACTTTACATTTCCCAAATGCTCTAGGTAAATCAGGCTCATTACAGTCCTTTCCTAGTGCAAGATGAGTCCCATTTCTTCTATTTTTTCCTATGGTGTGGTGCTCTCCTTCACAGAATGTTCACTCACATATATTCTACTTTATCCTATTACATATTGTGTCTCCCAAGCAAAATCTCAATCCTTCATGAAGCCATTCCTGGTAACTTCAGACTATATAATAGATTTGTTCCTTCCCCCAAATTACCTGTATCTTATATTAGTCAGTAAAAGAACTCCACTCCCTGTCTAAATGTTTGTGTCCTGTCCACAAAACATCACTTTCTTAAGGACAGGGACCATGCCTTAGACTTTGTATGCTCTTTCCTATGCTTACCATGACCTTAGACATTGAGTACTTGCTGACTGATGGACACTAATCAAAGCTACAAATATGGAATTTGATGTTAAATACATGATAGAATAAAACCTTTGAGGGTAAAGCCTCTACCTTAGTCAACCTTATATGCCTCACAACCAGCATGGTGTTGGTCAAAGAAGGTCTATGACTGCTGAGTGACTGAATAAAAGGATGTATATGAATAAATGAACTCACTAGATACCATGTTCAATGTTGTACCTGGTTTAAATATTTTTAACTCCTAAGAAAAATAAAGATGATTAAACAACATACACGACTGCATTTCCAGCATCTAGAATAGCACCTCACATGGGGGCTGCCCAGTTAGGTGTCTTCTAAAGGGAAGTTACATGAATGAATCGGCCAGTAGTCTGGAGCATTAGTTTACAGTTGCAATGAAGGAAGAAGAGAGAGGAGCAGCTGGCTTACCCGGAAAGCACTCCCAGAACTAGGTTGAGAACAAAGAAGGATCCAATGATGATGAGGGGGATGAAGTACAGCCAATTCCAGGTGGCTCCTAAGGCATCATTGGTCTGAAAGAAAGAACAACGGTTCCTTAATATTTTACGAAAACCATCTGCCAGAAGGCCTCTATTCCTGAAGCCTCAATACAGGGTGACAAACACAGGGCAATATAGTCAAATACCACCTGCTTCATTCCCAGTTTGGGGTTACTGTGGGTTAGCTCATATTCTCCCACGTATACAGTAAAGGACACTGCATCAGCCTCACACAACATTCTGAGAAGGAAGAGTCCAACAACCTCACTTAACAGCTGAGATAACTGAACCCAGGGAGGTCAAGTACTTGTCTAAGATCATACAAACAATGACTGTTTTTATAGTGTTTGGTGAAGGGTGTTCTAAGCTTTTGCAGTCTAAGTTGGACAAATTCTCAAAAAATCAGAGGCAAGCTGTGTCCATCAGTCTATTCCATGGACGCTGGCAAAGCCGTGACAGGATTGCTTGGGAAACAGTACTGTCATCCACATCCCGCTCAGCCCTTGACCCTCCACTCTTTCTTTCCAATAGTACAGAGCTGGCCCAGGCTTGGGTCCAGCAAGTTTCTGGACAGAACAAGGAATAAATCTAGATTTAAAGAGCAATCCTTTCACTCTCTCTCTAATCCTAACACACAGTGAAGTAAAAACTGCACAGAAATCCATATTCTGGACTCTTATACTACAAGTGAGATTCATGGCCTTTGAATACTTAGAGGTTGAGGGAGGATTACACCACATGGCTTAGCCAAAAGAAGCAACTCTTGGCAGGATGTCTTATTAGGACCTGGAAACCATTTGGGAGCATTCTGAAAAGTCTTCTCTAACACTTGAGCCTCTCAACTAAACTTCACCTTGACTCTTCCTCTCCATAATATCAACCCCAAATCTTTCTAAATAGTCTCCTTGAATTGCATTTTATATATACAGGGTTTTGAAATCCTCCTCCAACCCCACACCAGCCCCTCACACGCAAACTTTAATACTCATGTGAAACAGTTAAAAGGTATTTTATTCTCAATTCACTGGAGAAACAAGGCCAGTCAAATGCCATGCCTAATATTCACAGGCTACATTACTAAAATTAAGATCTGAACTCAGAATTTCTATGACAAAGTGCTTCTTGTCTGTGATTTACCATTTTCCTCCTCTCACTACTAAGCTTTACAAACATATTTTTGATTCATTGCCCTCATGCATCTGGTAGACTCCTAGGACATTCTATCTTTTATCTCAAATTATCTAATTTTCTTCTGCCTCCATTCAAATATGTCAGTCCACAGACTATAGGTTCCCACTGATCATGGAAGCTATCGCTGCACAGTAGAATTTTCCATTAAAAATAGCTTTGAAGACAACCTCTTTCACCAAACTTGTATCTTTTGTCTTGCCCCCACATTGTTCAGAGACAGATGATTGCAAATGAAGCAGAATGTAAGTTAACAAACACCCTCTGAACTGTATGGGACAAAGGTGGAAATCTGTCAATTTCAGTCTAAGTTCTAACTCTTCAGTTCAACCAGGTCTGATCAGTTAAATGCAAGCAGGGAAGATGTGGACCAGACCTCAAAGAAAATTGCTCCTGATTCTCAGGAAGAAGATGCAGGAGAACTAGATATTAAGGGCCACAAGGGATTTTAATGAACATAAAATTCACTATGTTCATTAATGTTTTTTCTGGGAGAGTTGAGATATGGTCCTTCCTGTGAGCTGAAGGATGGATGACATGATCCTTGTATAAATCGCTCTATCTTATTCATGATTACAAACGCAACATGTTGTACAGACGGGTTAGCTTGGATGGCTCACCAGTGGGGCACCAGAACAACATGTCCGATTTACTACATGGCTTAGCTGGAGTCCCCTGCACCCAGCATTCTTTGGCAGCAAGGACTCAGCTCCTAACACCCAGATCGGGGCTCAACATTAGTTGGTACCGGCCATGGCGATGATGAAATTGTGACTATTAAGGTATCTTTGACCCCAGAAGGGACTGAGCTACAGTTTGAGGATGGCTAGTGCAATTTCAATTGGGTGATGATTTTCCAGAGATGTTGTAGAGTGAAAAGCATTTCCCAAAAAGTGTTCTCGTTGCTAGTGGTCTGCGAGATGTTAATGTGTTCTGTGGAAAATGAGCTTCTGTGACCAAAGAGGCTTAGGAAACATAACTGATTATACTTTCCCCTTAGTCAGTGGGAAGACACATGAAAGGAACATTATTAAGTTTAATATCATTTCATATACTTCCTTGATAATGAAACCCCTTTTCTGGAAGAACATTTATTAACACTTGAGGAAATACAGCCTGTGAAATGCAGGGATAAAAGGACTCTTCTCATGAGCCCAAAGCCTAGAATGTACTTCCCAGTTCCTCCAGAAAAAACAATGACATGGACAGTGTCTCTTTAATCATGTGTAGTGGGAATGTTTTGGTTTGGGTTTAACCCACCATAAGGCAAGAATCTTATTTGTTTATTTCTATACCTAGCACCTAATGAAGTGTTTGGCACACGGAATGTTTGGCTCAACTAATCAATAAACAACTACAATTTGAATAAATAAGAGAATATTCATGTTTATGAGAGACTCTTGAATGCTGAGAACTGAGGACTGATGGGTGAGGGGGGGGAGGGGGGAGATGGGCATGGAGGAGGGCACTTGTGGGGATGAGCACTGGGTGTTATATGGAAACCAACTTGACAATAAACTATTTGTAAAAAAAAAACAAAAGAAAATGATTGAATAATAATAATAACAAATAAATAATAAAAAAGAGAATACTCATGTTTAAAATAAACCAAAAAGAAAAAAAGTTTCATTCTGATAGGCCCCTCTCAAGCTTTGTCTGAATTTCTTTTTAAGAAAAATTGTTCTCCATTATGGCATCGGGACCTGTCTGATGAGAAAAAGGGGAGGAAGGGGAAGAGAAAGACTTGGAGGACCAGGGCCAGCGGCACTAGGCCCCAAGGGGGTTGTTACAGATTACTGACAGCTTAAAAGTTTCTTCTGGAGAAAGCAGCTTGACAGCACCCCGAGATTATTCACAAACCTTTTAATAGACTTGCCGCACCCTCTCTACACCTTTCTCCTCTCCCTTGGGTTTCCTTTTGTCTCTTCCCCTCCCATCTTTCCCCACCAGGAGGCCTCACCCTCCTGTCACGTGTCTTTCAGTGGGTCAATGACAAATCCAGCAGGACAAGGGGACATAGCTCATCAGGGAAGCGGGCAAAGGACTTCACATTTCCCTCCTCCAAAACGACACAGTTCTTTCTGATGCTAATTAGAACTTCAATCTCCTTCTGATTCATCATTATAAAAACCTCAAAACTGTCCAGTGTAGGAGAGACAACTACTAAAGTGTCTTTTGAGGTTGAAAAAGAAGAAGGTAATCGACCACTCTCAAGTGAGATGTCCCGAAACCACGTGCAGTGGAAGTCAGGAACACCAAGGAGAAAGCTGCCGGTGTCACCTCAGAGCTCGAAGTGTGTTTTTCCTCAGGTGTCCGTGTGTCTGTGTCCCAGTAGGAGTGGGAAGAGAGGAAGGCTGCCTAAGTGATTAGTTCTCTCTCTCATCCTTTCTCCAGACCCCTCTGCTTCTGGGACTCTGAGAAGCTGCTTCCATGTGGGATCACCACACGCTACGTTCCTTGTTGACTCTTCCTTTAGGAACAGAGGACAGCCATGCTAAATGTTGTGAGCAAGATGCTGGCACAGGAGACCCACTGCCTTCTGAACATGTTCCACTGGATTCTGGCCCAAGAGTCTCCCAGCGGAACCTTCCCTGCCCGGACTGCGACTGTGGAGCAGCTAAGCAGAAACCAGGCTCCTCCCTGCAAAGAAGGCTGCACAAGGAGTGCCAGCTTCGCATTCCCCACCATTCACGGAACACCTACTGTTTGTCAGCCATTACAGAACAGTGTTCTTCTTTGGGGCAATGTCCTCTTGGTTAAGGCGCTGATTCTCCTCCCACTCAACCCAGCCAAGCCCCCAGACTGCAGGCTGGCTGCTGTCTTTCTCACCTGCTGCTTCCCCGAGTGACACACACATGTACACGTGCGCATGATGGGGGTAATGACAGACAGAGAAAGCAGTCGGGGGCGGCAGCCCACCTGCACAGGGAGTGCTCAGCGGGTACCAGTCCTGACACCGTGAAATGTGTTCCTTTGGGAACCTGCCTGATTGGGGGTGGTGAGTGCACCCACTCCCTGGGTAAACAGGCACACATGGCAATTATCACATTAATCTCTGGAGGACTGGGGGAAATGGTAGAAGGTGGGGTGGGAGGAGCAGGGTTGAAGAGAAAGCTGAGGATGGAGATAGCAAGATGAAGGGAGGAGGTCCCATGGTTCTCCTGGACTGAGGCTGTCTCTGCAGAGCCAAGTCCCCACCCTTGAACTCAGGTCTCTATCAGGGTTCCACGGGGCTCTGGAAAACATACTGAAGGGCCTCTTCTACGTACATGCTTTTCCTAGAGCAAGTCTCACCAAGGAGACTGAGTGAGCTGGGACTGGGGAAAGGGGGGATATGAATTGTAGGGTGATTTCAGGAAAAGAGACGGTCTCTGGGACACACCTGCTTCCTGGGTTGGAGACAGCATCTGTTGGCAAGCCTGGACTGGCATACAGCAGGGGTTCTCAGCCAGGGCACTGCTGGCATTTTGGGCTGGATAATTCTTTGTTGTAGGGTAATTCTGGGTAATTCTGTCCCATGTGGTACATTTGCAGGATCTCTGGCTTCTACCCACTAGATGCCAGTAGCACTACCCTACCTGTGACAACCAAAGGTGGTTCTTGAATTGTCAAATGTCCTGAGGAATAAAAACAGTTTCCCACTGAGAACAACAGGCTGAGGGGTTTTGTCCCAAGGAGAGATCTTTGGAATCACCAACTGATCTTAGGTCAAGACATGGCTGGAGCAGCCACTATAGGTGCCAAAAAGGCCAGACTGTTTATCTCAGCAAAAACATCTGTCCAAGGCCTCTGCTGACCACCCCAGGGAGAGAAAGTTCAGGAAGGGCAAGCGTGGGGATAAAAGG